CTTTTAAAAATTAGAAAAAAAAAAAAGAGAGAGAGAGAGAATCGTCTCACAAGAAAGACCTTAACTAGTTGGGAGCATCCAATGGGCTCAAGCATGGTAAAATTGTGAGGTGAACCCAGGACCAGGCAGTGTTTCGTTCTGTTGTGCATTGGGTCGCTATGCGTCAGTACCGACTCGAAGGCACCTAACAACAACAGTTACTTCATTACACATTTTTTTAGCATAGGATAACTTTGATGATTTAAAGAACTGATTATAAAATATGAAATGGAAATTTTACCACACATATGGATAACTAAACAGGGTTCCTAGGATGACTAGATTTGTTGACAGAAGTGTAATGAGAATGGCACTATTGTCATCTGCTTGATTTTACAAACTGTTTTGTTCAATAAAGGAATAACTGTTCTTTATATGGACTACACTAGTTTGACCTTCAACTTCCCTAGAAACTTGCCTCTGCAGATCAATAGTGAAAGTACCTGCTAGGTCTTCAAAGACAAATACATGTGGTGTGCTACTTTTTGGAATTAATTGCATTTGGAAATTCTAAATAGGTACTCTCTGATACTATAACCATATGGTCATTTTCACATAGTGCTATTTCTGTTCAATCTACATTCTTTCCATCTTCAGAAACTGTTTCCTTAAAGATAGCTGGACCAAATAAAAAAATTACTGCAATTTAATGTCTTTTTCTACTTGGAGTAACAGATTGCCTAAAACCAAAGCATCTGCTTATCTTATTTTCAGGAACATGTGCCAGAAGTAACTGAATATAAATCAGCATCTCAAATATTACATTTTAAATACCTACTTTTTTTATAAAGGATTAAACTTTCAAATAATTTTATGAATCAAAGTGTATCATCCCCCCCCCTAAAATTTTGTGTTGTAAATCCTAACCTCTAGGCCTAAGGTTATAATCCATTTCCGAATGAGTTGTTTTTGTTATGTTAATGAGACAAAATTAGTGTAGGGTGTGTTTTGAGTCCATCTCTTTTGAGATTGTTGCTGATGTTATGTGCCATGAGTCCCTTTCAACTCATAGGAACTCTGTAAAGGATTTCCAAGGAGCAGCTGGTGGGTTTGACCTTCCGCTTCTGATCTTGTGGTTCTAAGTCCAGTGCTGATCTACAGCGCCACCCCAGGAGTCCTAAAGAGCTTTAAAAAACATGAAAGAAATAGGGCAAGAGAGATGCCAAGCCAATAAAGATCACCCAGGAACAAAAACTCAAAGAAATGACAGAGAAAGCCTTCCCCTAGAACTGGCACCCTAAATTTGAGCTTATGTCCTCATAAACTGTGAGAAAATAGGTTTCTGTTTGTTAAAAACACCTACTCATGGTATTTCTATTATAGCAGCACTAGATAACCAAGGCAAATAGTATAGCCAGTATTATGTAATGATGACTTTTTATCTAAGGAGACTGGAAAGATGCAAGTGAGCATTTAGGTATCAGTCAATGGGCAGACCAGCAACTTTAATAAATGTAATGAGAATCACACAAGTACCATTTACCAATCCTTTTCAACAATTTTAAATCTTTCTTCTAGAATCTCCTTTTCACTTCCCTAAATCTCAGCAGGCCACTCTGTTCTCTAACTGATATCATTAAGTAAAATCCTCCAACTTCCAGTCCATTCCTCTTCTTTCTTCTCCAGATAAGGTCTCACTGTTTTATTCAAAGCCAGTTCTATCAAAATCGCTGCTGTTCTTACTCGGACTGGAGCCATCTAATAGATTTCAGTTTCTCTCCCCAGGCTGCCAGAGTGGGACCCACACAGACTTCTGACATAGCAAATCCCGTATCTTATGATTTTGCTGTTGTTGTTAGCTTCCCTAATTGGCCCCAGCTCATGGTGACCCCATATACAACAGAATGAAATGTTGCTCATTCCTGCCCCATCTCTATGATCAGCTGCAGAATGGGGTTTCATGTCCTTATTTTTTGCCAAGCCTTTCTTTTGGAATCCGGAAGTTCTATTGTAACCTGCTCACCATCATAAAACATGCAAACCACCACTGATAGATGGCTATGCATGAGATTCATTGGCCAGGAATCAAACACAGGTCTCCTACATGGAAGACAAAAATTCTACCACTAAACCACCATTGCCCCATTTAACTTATCATGTGACCACTTCTCCCCACCCCCACTTATCTTAATATCCTTAGCACCTTTCACCAGCAAGCAGAAGGGACTCTATAAATGTGTGTTGAAGTGAAACTACTCACACTTTTAAGCATGAGTTCTTTTCAAGAGCTTAAACCAGAACTGTGCTTGTCCTAGATTACAGAACAGCATACAATTTCTGTTCCATTTAAGCTTCTCAACCCATCAGTGACCCAAAAAGGAGGAATGAGACCATTTCAGTGACTAGGATTGCTAGGTAAAATACAGACTGCCCAGTTGAAACTGACTTTCAGATAAACAAGGAATAACTTTTTTAATACAGGGATATCCAAAATATTGTGTGGGGCATTCTTATACTAAAATAATTATTCAATAGTTTCAACTGGGCATCGTGTATTTTTTCTTGCTAAATCTGGCAACCATATGTGTGACTCTTAATGATTCTAAGGAAATGCTTCCTTAGAACATGGGAATTTTGCATGTGAGTTCTGCAATTAGCAAGATTTTGTCTGGTAATGCAGTTGGGTTTTTCTGTGAGCATCTCTAGGGAGATCTGTAACAGGATGTAGGAAAGGCTGTTTATTATGTAACATTTTCATTTATATTGCTAATTTCATAAAATTCCCTTCCAATACAATCTATCAGTAATTTTAATGCAAAGAATATTTAACATTGTTCAAAAATTTTAGACAGCTAATATTCATGAACTTATTTGTATGCCAGAGTTAAATCCTGACCCTATGTATTAATGAGGAGCATAGTGGTTCCAAACAATAAGCACTGAATTGCACACTACAAGGAAGATTCAAGGTTTGAGCCCACCAGCTGCTCCTAAGGAGATAGCTGAAGCTTTATGCTCCTGTGAAGATTTAAAGCCTTGAAACCCTATACAGAGTTACTATGAGTAGAAACCGATTCAAGGGCACTTAACAATAACAAATATGTATTAACAACTTAAGATTTGTCATAATGTAGTATTTGCAATTAAACCAGCAAAGCACAATAAGGAAAATCTTTCATTTGAGGATTTTTTTCATTTCATTAATCGAGCATAGCGATAAACACCGTCCTCATTTAAGGGTTGAGGAGAAGCAGCCAGGCAGTCTGAGGTATAACTGCAGTGGGTCTCTGTTGGAAGAACCTTTCCTAAATGTGAAACATCTGAAAATATAAATACTTCAGCTCAATTGCATATAGGCTGACAAGAGAAAAAGAGTTGGCTCTTTAAGCATTGCATACTAAAGACTTGAAATTTGGGTTAACAGAAATTCCTCAGAGGTCATATAGAAGGTTACAACCCTGTCTTACCAAAGGGAGGAAAAGCAGGCTTTTTTTTTTTTTTTTTTGTAAAGGAGTATCATTTTAGGTTATCAGTTGTTATGCTTGCCAGTTCACTGATTGATGTGAAGGTCCAATGGAATTTACAACCCAAGTGTAAAGAAAGATGTCATACAGCCTGTTCCAATCTGGAAAGTTCTCTACAGTATTGGGTTCTTCCTTCACAGTTCTTGACAGTGATTAAAGAGAAGAGGTTTATTTCTTACTCCTATGAACGAGATTAAAGATAGAGAAATATCTCCAGTGTGTTGGGATGGATGGGTGAACCTTTGTCAAAATTTCAACTCGACTGATCTCAGAGAAAACTTTAAATAAAGAATGACTAAGTCTGCTGTAACTACGTGGTGTCATAAGATGATAATGAATTAAGATGTTTGTCCCAACGCAAGCACACTACCTGTTTTCCACCATATTGGCAACTCCAGTTAAGGATGGTTGTCAAGCTACCAGCAACCAGCACAATACGCACACGCACTGCAGGGATGCAGAACAATGCCTGGATGACTGCCCAAAACTGGTCTCTCCCAATGACCGACTCAATTTATGGTACCAATCTGAATCTCAGTGAGGGGTACAGCGTCATTTTCTTAGGTGGAGGGGAGAGCAAAGGAAGTCATTTGGAAAGCTCTGAGTACTGGTTGGGGTTTCCACCTGCCCTGTGAAGAGCAGAGAGTCGGATAAACATGTTCATTAAACTTGAATTGAAGCAAGCCAGCCTGCGAGGTCGTTCCTGAAATATTCATAAGACGTGTTACCGGACTCTCGCGCTGCCCTCACCCACACTTTGAGGGGGGAGGCACCCACAACAGCGCACCCCACCAACACATTTCCACTGATCTTCTTTTAAAAGCTCCATCAGCTGTAGCTCCCCACCGATCTGTTCTATTCTACCTGCCCAGGAAGAAGAGACACTCTAATAAGTGAGGAGTTTCCCAGCAGTTGGAGGAGGCGCGGCGCGCCGCCCCTCCCCCCACCCCCACCTGCCAGCTCCTCTGGGTTCACAGAGCGGAAGACCCCCCAGTCCAGCATATCCACCAACCCGATTCCCTTAACCTTCCGGTGCTAAAGTCGGCGGAGGATCGGGTTCCTGGGATCCGGATCAACTACAGCCCCGGGCGAGCAGCCCTTCGTCCCGCCTCCCATTTTGGGTTCTGCCAGGGCTCCCTCCCCCGGAGTTCTCGGCGTTCAGTCGCTAAGCGACCTGCATCGAGGCCGAGATGCAAGCAGCACCTTGCGCCTATGTGCAGCCTCTTGGGTTTTAATTTTGGGGTGAAAAACGGGGAGAGGATTACTCTCCTAAGGTACTCTTGGAGGTACCCTGGAGGCCCTGAGCCGAAGCTGTGTGCCCCTTCATTCAGGCCCCCTTTTCGGTCACCAACCCTTAGCATTTCTGCTTCGCCCCAGACGCAGCGTAGCTCGCTTGGTGTCTCGCATGCTCGCCGCCACCTCTTTCCTCTCCAAGGGCATTCGCCCATCGTCCCTCACCCCTAGGCTTCTCGGGGGTCGGTTCTCGCCGTTGCTTACCTGGACTTCTGCGGCGGCAGGTTCAGCAGGTCCCGACGCGCGGCAACCCTGTCTCCATCCCCGCCTTTCCCAGGCGTCTGGGTTGCGCGCTGCGAGGCGGCGAACAACGCCGTTTGTCCCCGGCGCACAGGCTGGACAGAGGCAGCCGCGGCTGCCGCACAGGCTGCGGGCGCGGGAGGATCGGGGGCGGGGCAGGAATCTGGGTCGCGTGAAGCCGAGCTAGCCGGATGCACCCAGGGTGGCTGGCAACCGGGAGGCGACGAAGAACAGCCCTGGGAGGGCGTGCAGAGGTTTCCCTGGGAGCGCGACGCGGGCGGCGACTGAGCATGCCCAGTCCAAGCGCCAGGGGCGCGGGGTGGAGGAGGGATCGTGACACCCCGCGCAGGAGTCTGAGGGTAAAGGGTTAAATCTGCGGACCAGGATGCTATAGATAGAAGGCAGAGTTGGCTACGTGGCCCAGTTTAACTAACCCTTCGGAAGCGCCCAGGACTGGAAGACTGGGACCCTTGCAGAACCTGTCAAGGAATTCCCGAGGAGTGCTGGAATGAGGGCACGGTTTGTTCTCCCCCTCCGCTACCTCCCCAGAAAATTGTGTAGAATCCAAAGTTTGCCTTTACCTTAGCTCCAATCACCCTTACCTAATCAAGTGAGTCCACATCCCACACCTCCACCCCTCACAGCTTTGCTGTGCCTGGGGACCTCCCCAGAGTGCTCAGGCAACCCCCACCTTTCCCAACCCCTGGATCAGTCCCGGTCAAGTTCTCAGAGACAACTCTTTAATTAGGTGTAATTGAGAGATCAGGTCAAACCTCTCAGGTCTCATGTCTGCATTTCATCTAAGGCTTCAGAAACAATACCTTACCCCAGGGGTGGTTATAATGGGAAGAATTATAGGCACCCTGGTCAAGGGCTCTTTGGGGAGTATTACTTAGGATACTGAACGTGGGCAATAGCATTGGTCTCAGAAACCACTTCCTTAGTACCAGCATGCTTGTACACACAAGGAGAGTGGGGCCTTTCTGTGGAATTGTAGTTTATGTTTGATAAAGAACGTTTTTTCTATATCTAATCAGATGATTTCTTATATTAGAGGTAGTTGGGGCTGGGGAAAGAGGATGAGCTTTGAGGTTGGCCTTTCAGTTTTGTTTATTACCTCAACAGATCACCTAGCTACTCTGTACCTCAGTTTCCTCCTCTAATTAATGAAGGGTGGTGATTGATACCTGGGTTGTTTTTAGAATTAAGTGGGCAGTGTAGTCACCTAGCTCGCTGTTATTTGAATAAGTCTCCAAAGGTTCCACCTCCACTATTCTTTTTAATAAAAGGTTGTTGTTGTTGTTAAAGTGCTGTCAAGTTGGTTCTGACTCATAGCAAACCTGTATAGGGTTTCCAAGAAGGAGCTGGTGAGTTTGAACTGCTAACTTTGTGGTTCAAAGTCCAGTGCTGATCCTACAGGGCCATACCAGGAGTCCAGATTCTTAAGTGGTGAATATATTTTTATGTTCCCTCCTCAAATTGTTGTTGTTAGGAAGTGCTGTCAGTCAGTTCCAACTCATATCGACCCTGTGCAGAGTTTCCAAGGAGTGGCTGGTGGGTTTCAACTGCTGACCTTGAAGCTAGCAGTCCAGTGCTTATCCTACAGCACCACATAAAGACTCCTCATATAAAATAACCCCAAAGCCTGATGGCTTTAATTTTCTGTCATTGTTAAAAGCATTCACTATTATCTACTTTTCTTACAACTCTCCAGTTTCTTAACTTCCTTGAGTAAACCTCTTGAAAAAATTGGACCAACACCATATGCAAGTTCTCTTTTAAGAAAAAAGCCTTTCCAAAGAGATTCATTAAAGACATGCTAATCACATGACCGAAGGTTTCCAGTCCACCTTCTTTTACAAATAATTTTATTTATTTGAATCTTTCTGTGGTCCCTGTTGCACATTTACTGCCTAAAGTAAAGTTTACGTTGTATTTTAGATCTTCAATAAAAGTTTGTGGAATGAATAAACGAATGTATGCAGGTACACATCCATCCTACAATCTCAACTCCACTTGTTACCTCAGAGCTTAGTTTTTTTCGAATTGGTCTTCCTACTAATTCTAGAATTTATTTACCAGGCTTTGGCTGATTTTTGCCTTTTCCCACTCTACTAATTTCCCTCCAACCACAATGCCACATACATCCCTCCACTTCTGGATTCACAGAGCTTTGTGGAGGAAAACCTTAACCAAAATGTATTAAAATTTTGTGGTTTTAGCTAAAACCTACACCTAAAGCAAACCCACTGCCTACCAGTCCATTCTATCTCATCTCATAGCTTCCTTCTAGGATAGAGTAGAACTGCTCCATAGGGTTTCCCAGGCTGTAAACCTAGCAGACACAGACTATCTCATCTTTCTCCTTCAGAAGGTGAATTTGAACCACCGACCTTGGAGTCCAAGGCCTGGCCCATTCCACAACCAGGGCTTCTTAAAGCCCATAAGTGCTCACGATCATCTATAAATCAATCAATATCACTGTTGCTTCCTTTAATCCAGGGACTGTTGTTGGTAAGTGCTGTTGAGTCACTCCTGACCCATAGTGACCCTGTATAGGGTTTCTGAGGAGCAGCTAGTGAGCTTGAACAGTCAACCTTGAGGATCAAATCGACTTCGCAGCCCAGTGCATTAATCCAGGGGTGGGGAAACTTTTTTTCTGCTAAAATTTATAACATCATTTGCAGGCCATAGAAAACTATCAACTTAAAAATTAGCCTGCTATATTTGTTCAAAAGAAACTAGCGTAGTGATTACTAGTTGAGCTGCTAACCTTGAGGTCAGCAGTTGGAGAAAGATGAGGCTTTGTGCTCCTGTAAAGATTTACAGAGCCTTGGAAATCCTATATAGGGTTACTATGAGTCAGAACCGACTCCACAGCACACCACCACCACCACCAAGGAGGCCTACAGGGTCACTACGGGTCGGAACTGACTCAACAGCACTTAACAACAATAACAAGGAGTCCTGGTGTGGCACTGTGGGATAATGCACTGGACCACAAAGTTGGTTTGAACTGCAAGGCCACTGGTTCAAGCTCATGAACCACTCCTTGGAAACCCTATACAGGGTCGCTATGAATTAGAACCGACTTGACGGCACTTAACAACAACATATTGTGATGGCTGGGACTCCTAGTGTGGCACTGTAAGATCAGCACTGGACTGTGAACCAAAAGATCAGCAGTTCAAACCTACCAGCTGCACCTTGGAAACTCTACATAGAGTTGTTATAAGTTGGAACCAACTCTATAGCACCTAATAACAACAACAGCAATGTGATGGCTAGAACTGCAGTTAGTTACCTTGGCAGGGCCAGAACAAATGACTTTGAGAGTGCTATACCCCTGGCGAGTCCTGGTGTGGTGCTGTGGGCTAATGCATCAGACTATGAAGTCGTTTGAACTACAATATGCATGGTTCAAGCTCATCAGCTGCTCCTTGGAAACCCTATACAGGGTCGCTATGGATTGGGATCAACTCAATGGCACTTAACAACAACAACAATACACTCTTGGACCAGTGGTTCTCCACCCCTGTTCTAATCCATGATTTTAAAAAATGTTCTCTTTTTCACTTTACTACCTTCCCATGTTTCTAACAATGCCAATTCAGCTCTACCCCTGCACCCGAAAAGAAAAAAACAGTTGATTCTGACTCATAGTGCACAACTAACAAACTATTGTGTGTAATCCAGCTTCTAGGATCTAGGACTACATATAGAAAATTGTATAGGATTTCTGGTAATAGATGTGTTCGAGATAAATTTATTTTTGGATTACTCAAGGACATCCGCGGAAGTTTCCTGCTTTAAAACTTGCAGTGATGCAGGTCCATATAGTTTGGAAGCAGTTATTTGTGTGAACGAAGTAAAGTGTTTAGTGCAGTTTGCAGGAGCAATGTTACATAATGTTAAGGCATCAGCCAGGAATTAGAGAGATCTGGGTTTAGTCTCTCTCATTTTTACTTACAAAGTGAGGATGACCGTAGGAGTATCTACCTCACTGTGTTACTATCAGAATGAATTAATGATTTGTAAAGTGTGTAGCATAGTGACTGGCCCACAAGTGTTCAATAAATATTAGCCAGGAATCCAGCTGCATTATTTTGAATTTCAAAAACTTACAATTTGTCTATGAGGTCAAGTTGGTTGTGTTGTTTAAATTTCTGTGTTTTTGTTGAGTTTCTTTCTAGTTGTTCAGTCCTTCATCGAGGTGGAGTATTAAGATCTCCTACTATTATGTAGCATTGCTATTTCTTTCATTAATTCTATTAGATTACACAGAGCTTGATTCGCATGAGAGCAACAGAGAGGGTAGGTGAGGGAAGTGAAATTTGAAGTAAAGATTCTTCCATGGAGGAAACAGTTCTTCCTCAAAGCCCATCCAAAATGGCAAAGTAAAACTGATGAGGAAGGGAAAATTTAGAAGATACTTTGACTGCCTTCTACTTAGACTTAATATTGACCAGTGGGTCACAGATGTGACAGATGTTGGGTATCTTTTCCAGACAGGTAGATAGACTCCTCTGCTCAGGAAAACTCTTACAGAACATCATACTTAGGTATTTATTTGAATAAAAATTTCGCCACCCAGAAGTTTCTTTCTTTAGCAAGGTAAGATTGAGCAATGGGGTAAGTGGTATTTTCCTGCCTGACTGTTCTGTGGGTGGAGTTGAAGGCATGGCCCTTTATTTATTTTCAATCTAGTCTTAAGCATTGAAAATTGAAGAATTGGCACATTGGAGAGTTGTTTTTTTGTTTTGTTTTGTTTTTGGATACACGTTCTTTGGAATGAAACTAGAAAGAAAGCCTCGTGTTGTTTCTAAGTACCAGCAAGTTGGTTGTGACTCATAGACGCCTATATAGGATTGATGAGAAACAGCTGGTGGATTTGCACTGCTGATCTTACAGTTAGCAGTTCAGTGCTTATCCTACAGTGCCACACCAGGACTCCTGAAACGTATTGTTGTAAAGTGCCATTGAGTTGGTTACGACTCATAGCAACCCTGTGTAGGGTTTCCAAGGAGTGGCTGGTGGGTTTGTTCAGAACCACCGACCTTGTGGTTAGCAGTACAGTGCTTATCCTACAGTGTCACAGCAGGACTCCAAAAAGTACTAAGTCTCCTCTAATTTTGCTTGTTATGGAGTCCTAGTCAGCAGTTCAAACCCACAAACCATTCCTCGGAAACGATACAGGGTTGCCATGACAGCACTTAACAACAATTTTGCTTGTTAGTTAATGTAAAATCTAGAAATGAATCTAAGTCCACTCTGGCTTTCAG